GGTCAACTCCATTGATAACCACACATCATCCACATGTGTTTCATTATCAATACGCCATACATCTTCACCGACCATTTTGTGTGTAAAGCTTTGTTGAAGATCTCCCTCAAGCCTCCACCACTTTATCTTTGGCTCCACTTGTTGTTTAACTTGTCTTCTATAGTTCTTACCTCGAAAGTCAAGCACAAGCATCCTATGCTGAGTGACAACACTCTCACCTGAATAACCTTACAATCAGTGTAGCTAGTTCTCCAAGTGGTCTGTACTAAGAAGTAGTCAATTTGGGTACTATTAGCTCCACTTTTATAGGTTACAAGGTGAGAGTCTCTTTTCTGAAACAAAGTGTTCATTACAGCCAACTCATACGTCAAGGCAAAATCCAAAATGTTCTTTCCCGCCTCATTCCTAGTGCCAAAACCATGTCCGCCATGAATATTCTCAAAGCCATCACGACTCGAGCCCACATGCCCATTGAGGTCACCTCCTATGATCAACTTCTCTCCCCTTGGCACTCGTCGCACCACGTCTTCAAGATCTTTCCAGAACTGTTGAGTTGTAGATGCATCCAATCCCACTTGTGGTGCATAGGCACTTACCACAGACACAATCTCACCTCTTATCACCAATTTAATGCTCATGATGCGATCGTTCTTCCTGAAGACTTCTACCACATCCTCAACATTGTCACGCACCACAATAATGCCTACCCCATTTCTAGTCTTATCTCTCCCCGAATACCACAACTTAAAACCTCCGGGATTAATCTCGCGTGCTTTCTCTCCAACCCATTTAGTTTCTTGCACACACATAATGCTGATATTCCTTCTGCTCATAACCTCGACTACCTCGGAAGATTTGCCTGTAAGAGACCCAACATTCCATGTCCCAAAACGCAATCTAGCATTCCACCTTCTGTTTTTGGCCCCATCTTGGACCCCACCATGCCCTTGCATATTTGACATCATCCCCGGGCAATGGGATGACGCGCCGCTTCTGGGCGGCGACCTAGCAACCTTAGCATTCTTATCACCACACCCAGGTCTATCAAGTGTAGCGCGCCCTTGCATATTTGACACCACCCCCAGGCGGAGGGATGACGCGTCACTTACGGGTGACGACCTAGCATTACCTGTAACACCGACCCCGGGCATATTTACTTTTAGTGAATTATGTGATAAACCTTGAAAGATGATTTATGAATTTGCGTAATTGTAAATTTTATTATTTCTTTTACGTGAATAAGTAAATTGCATGCGGGGCCCACAGTGGGAACGGGGACCGCCCGATAATTTCCGAACCACATATTATATTCATCTTGGTCTAGATGACATCTATATGGTGGTGGATATTTTATTTGGGCCATAAGAAAGGCATGGAGTTGACCGGTTGGTCAAACGGGGCCCAATTACCGGTATTGGCAATTTAACGGATAACAGCCCGAAATGAGTTTCGGAGACTCCTAAATTAATGTTGCGGAATGTACATCTATTCTATAGGCCCATAATTATTGGGAACGCGTGATATATTTTATTTGGTCCGATAAAATAAAATATGATTAAAACGGGTCGAGAAATACAACTTTCGGGGCCGTTTGTACACACCGGGACTTAATGGGATGACCTCCCACATAAGTGGGGGCCACCCCACGTTTTTATGGGTGCTGATTGACCCAAATTAATGGGAAGGGGACATCCAAAGGTGACATATCCGGACATGTGATTGAGGGGTGGGAGAAGGTTCTTGTACACATCCTAAAGGTCCTACACTCCCTATTATTGAGCTAGTTGTTGGGAAGATATTTCCTCCCTTTCATTTGCACCATACGAGCTGATTAGAGGGATAAGAGGGGGTTGGAAATAGCTCTCAAAAATCAGAAACTCTAGAGGAGGAAGGAGGAATAGCAAACCCAAGAAAAACTAGCAAGAAAGAAAGGTAATAGCTCCACAACTATTCTTCTTCGCTAGTTTTGTTGTATGATTTTTTTTAGCAATCCTATGGTGGATTAAATCATGAGTTCTACACGTTTAAAAGTGTAGAATATTGATGTATAGTAATGGTATTTAACTTAGAAGTGTTGGTGAATCGATAGGAGTCGAAATCGCCGGAAACCGCTAAGTATAGCAGGCTGCTCGAACCTGCAGCACACGAACGCCGGGCGACATTTGGCGAAAGCCGGGCGGCTTTCAGCTACTGCCCAGAATTCTTGTTTCAATCGGTCAAAAACGGGGATTTATCGAAGGGCTTCGTAAAGGCATCTAGTTGAGCACATCATAAGGTGAGGATGGCTGACTATATTGTTTATAATTAGTGAGTTAATTTCATAAGATTGCCTAAAGTAATTAGATGGGATTTTCATGGAGTATTAATGATTAATAATGCCTAAATGAAAATGATATTGATATGAGTAAGTGAAGCATAATATACAAATTTAGAATAATTGTGTATGATTATGTGAAATAAATGGAACGGCATATTAATGGAATTTACTATGATGACATTGTGATAAAATATACTTTACGCCATGTATGAAATTCATGAACGGAGTAAAGTGATATTTTTGATATTGAGATCAAACTATACTTGTGTTGAGAAATCAATTGAAATGAAAAGTCAATTGGAAAATAGGAACTTGGCATGTTCTAAGATTATCCAATTAGTATCAAAATACTAGTCGGGGAATTAATATAAATAAATGATGAAACAAATCCTAAGAGGTAGGATTGTGAATAGATATGCCTTATGTAGTCTCAAGAGATACTTTAAGGTTGAATTGTGTGAACACTAAGGTGTGATAGGGGTAGGCCTAAAATCTACCTACGGAAATTGATTCTAGACATAGGGTTTGCTTGAGAATTTGATTATGAAAATAATTAGAGTTGGACTCTAGGATGACATGGAAATGTAGTTGGGCCGAACCCATGCCATGTAATATGATTAGCATGGAAACGTAGTTGGGCCGAGCCCTTGCCATGTATATGTAATCTCCGTGGAAACGTAGTTGGGCCGAGCCCTTGCCACGAAGTTATGGTTGGTATGGAAACGTAGTTGGGCCGAGCCCTTGCCATACAAATTTTGATATGTTATATTGAGTTAGAGGATTGTATAGAAATGTAGTTGGGCCGAGCCCATGCTATACAATCGGGGCTCGATGGGACCCCACGGGGTTATCGTGACTTGCGGTCACGGGGGAATGGAAATGAGGAATTCTAAACGAATATGGGCCCACGGGCCGACTACTTGACTCTATATAAAGTAAGTACAGTTAAGAGAAAAAAAGGGGTAACCGAGGGTTATGGCCTATAATATAATAGCACCCTAAGTTGAGGGTCTTAGAAATTAAAACATCAATTATACTTAGTATAGTTTCTATTGTACTTGTCAAATATTTCCACGTACTGACCTCCCCTTCACGGGGGAGGCCACCTCACAGTTTCAGGTAGAACTTGAAGGTTGCTGCCACCGCCCGTTGCTTCGGGAAGATCTAAGGAAGAAGACGTGGTTCGTGCTTCTTCCGTTTCTGTTTCGAAAACAAATTAAATAATGCTCATGGATATTGTTTTTTTGAATAATTATTTGGGGGCTTGTACGCCCATGATTGCCAAGGTGTGGCACAAACACTTACGTTAAATGTTTCCGCTGCTATAAATGTTTATTTTACATTATGTTTGTTTATGGATGTACTATGTGTGAATGGTATTCGAGACGTCTTGTATAGTATGGATGAGTCGGACTGCGGTTGACTATTCGTACTGTACGGCGGGTTGTTGACGTGTCCGGGTAGGTCCGGCGTGACAATTTAATTGGTATCAGAGCCTTAGTCCGTAAACATCATAATGAAGCTTCAAAATTTCTTTTTGAAAATGAATTTGAAAACCATGAGCATAAGGTTTTGTACTTATAGAACTTTTGGTACTTGAGTTGCAATGTTTCTAATTGTTAAGATGGTACCCTTAGCAATTAGTATGGCGGTGATTTGAGTCAAAGGATGTCTTTAAGTACCTATCCGTCAATTGACATTTGATACGAGTCTAATGACTCATTCTCAATTTCTTTCAGAAATGGAACGTACCGGGAAAGTAACTAGAAGGAACCCGACTGGCCGAGCACCGGGAGGATCCGTGCAAGGCAGTAGAGGGGCTTCTAGGGTGTCCAGAGGACAGGGCCGTGGAGGCCAAGATCAGACCGTGAGTGACAGTTATGTTGAAACGGTCAACGAGTCCTATGAGTCCGAGGAGAATTCGACGTATCAACCGGGAACTGAGCCGGTTGAGACCCCATATGATGGGGAGTATGATGATGCTAGTGAGGGGAGCGACGATGATGACGTTCTGGAAAGGGTGGAGGAACTACTCCGTCATTTTCAACAGGATCGCCAAAGGCGCCGAGCAAGGCGTGCTTTGGGAGGGGCTTCAAGAAGGGGAAGCCATGCGGGTTCTAGGGGACATGTAGATTCCCGAGTAGATCGAGGTGTCGAGGTCCCGATAATAAGAATCTCGAAGTACCTCAAGGAAGCAAGAGACCTGGGGTGTAAACCGTTCGATGGAACGGGAGATATATCCGTTGCGGCGGAGTGGATCAAGAGGTTCAATGAAGCGGCCCTTGATATGCAGATGCCGCCAAACATGAAGATGAGAGTAGCAACAAGGTTGCTAGAGGGGATGGCGTCCACATGGTGGGACGGTGTCAAGGGGAAGTACGGTGAGGCCGTAACTTGGGAGAATTTCCGACAGGAATTCTTCAACCAATACTACTCCGACTTCGAGGTGAACTTGAAGAGGAGAGAATACACCAACTTGACCCAAGGAGGCAAGTATACCGTGAGGCAACTTGAGCACAAGTTCAGGGAGCTCGCGGAGTTCATACCGGAGTATGCTTGTGATGAGAACCGGATGGTGAATCACTTTTGGGATGCTTTAGACTTAGACGTGCGTGAACGGGCAACACAATTGCCTAACATGACGTTTAGTCAAGTGGTGGAGCAAGGCCTGAAAGGGGAGAAGGAATGGGAAGAAAGAAAGGTGAAAAACGCCGAGGAGGCGAAGAAGAGGAAATGGGAGAACACCGGCCCCCAAGGTTCTAGCAAGAAAGGGAACCACGGGGGAGGTGGGTCTTTCAGAACGCCCGCACCACCATCTAGGGGAAATCAAGGCCCAGGAGGGCAAGGCTCGAGGTCGCAAGGCTCGGGCATTAGCAGGTGCAATAACTGGAAGAGGAACCACGCGGGCAAGTGCCGCGATCCCCCTAGGTGCTACCAATGCGGGGAGACGGGACACTTGAGATCAAACTGCCCACAACTTGGGCGAGCCATGGGTGCAGGACCTAGCAGCGGGACTACGGCAAGTAGGAACCGAGCAGGGGCACTTCACGCGAGCACGGCGCACGGAGGGCCAAGTACAAGTAACGCGCCATCCGTGAACCAAGGCAAGACCCAGGCTAGGGTCTATGCGATGACGGAGGCAGACGCACGTGCTAACCCGGACTCCGTGGCGGGTAAAATCTTAAACTCATGTTATTAACTCCATTGTATGCAATAGGAGTGTTTGTAATGTGCAAAATTTGTAACCCCGACGGTTTGGTCGGGATTGTAGGGGAAAGGGGAGGAAAAATCCCCGCCCTGGGCGAATGCCGCCCGACATTTGAAGAAAGCCGCCCGGCTTTCGTCTTGATTTATTGGGAAAATACTGCGGCGACGAATGCCGGCCGGTTTCCACCAAAAAAACCGTCTGGCTTTCGTCAACATTTAATCAGGAAAATCCTCGCAACCAAAAACCGGCCGGCTTTTGTAAAGACCGGCCGGCTTTCATAAATGCCTGACCTGGGAAATTTCTCGCAGCTGAAAGCCGCCCGGCTATGGCGAAAGCCGCCCGGCTTTGGCGAAAGCCGCCCGGCTTTCGTTGGGCCTGGGGATTCCTGCGCTGCTGAAACCCGGACGGGTTTCGTAGGAACCGGTCGGCTTCGAAACCCATTCCATGAATAAAAATGCGGCGACGAAAACCGGTCGGCTTTCGTGGAAGCCGCCCGGCTTTCGTGATTTACATACAGGGATTTTCTCGCAGACGAAAACCGGCCGGCTTTCGTGAAAAGCGGCCGGCTTTCACCTGGTTTAGTCCTAGAGAGGTTCTAAAGGTTAGAAACCGGGGAATTTCGGGAGGGTGTCGAACGGACTTCACCCGAACCACGACCAACATACTCTACGACTTAAGAAACAAGCCTGTTAATTAGGTAGTGTGTCTTACATTACTTATGAATGTAGGAACACTAAAGATAAACGGGAGAGACGCAAGGATCCTTATTGATACTGGGGCGCAACGATCATTTGTGAGTGAGGCATTCGCCAGCGGATTCAACGGACCACTTGTACCGATGACTCAAACCTTATTGGTGTCCACGCCTCTAGGGGATGATATCGAGAGAGATAGCCACTATCCATCGTGTGAGGTGGAGGTGGAGGGACAAAACTTGACGTGTGATTTCGTACCGCTGAGTATGATCGAGTTTGATGCAATCCTCGGGATGGATTGGCTTGAGAAACATCATGCTAGGGTCGATTGCTACACAAAGATTCTTGAACTCGAAGGCGGTGAAGGGTTGACCTTACGCTTTGAGGGAGATAGAGGCAAATCAAACAGTTGTATCATATCCGCCGTGAGGGCGAGGAATATGATGAGAAAGGGATGCCACGCATACCTAGCGTATGTGGTGGACAAAACCAAAGAAGAGATAGACATCAATGATGTGAGAGTAGTGTGCAAGTATCCGGATGTCTTCCCAAAAGACTTGCCGGGACTTCCACCCAATAGGGAGATTGAGTTCGTGATCGAGGTTGAACCTGGCACCAAACCAATCTCTATACCGCCATACAGAATGGCACCCGCTGAACTTAACGAGTTGAAAACCCAATTGCAAGAGCTATTGGATAACGGTTTCATAAGGCCGAGTCACTCTCCGTGGGGAGCACCGGTCCTTTTCGTGAAAAAGAAAGATGGAACACTTCGAATGTGCATTGACTATCGTCAACTGAACAAGGTCACAATCAAGAATAGGTATCCCTTGCCTAGGGTTGATGACTTGTTTGATCAACTCCGAGGAGCGACGGTGTTTTCGAAGATTGACTTGAGGTCGGGGTACCACCAACTGAAAATAAAGGAGGATGACATACCGAAGAGTGCATTCCGCACAAGGTATGGTCGTTTTGAGTTCCTAGTTATGTCGTTCGGGCTAACCAACGCCCCGGCGGCATTTATGGACTTGATGAACCGGGTATTTCATAAATACTTGGACCGGTTTGTGATTGTGTTCATAGATGACATCTTGATTTACTCGAAGAGTGAAGAAGAGCATGAGGAGCACTTGATACTTGTTCTAGAGACACTACGGGAGAAGCAACTCTATGCCAAGTTTTCCAAATGTGAATTTTGGCTAAGGGAGATTGGCTTTCTCGGGCATGTAGTTTCGGGATCAGGGATTGCCGTAGATAACAAGAAGATTGAGGCCATTACTGAATGGGAGAGGCCAAAGAACGTCAAGGAAATTCGTAGCTTCCTTGGATTGGCAGGGTACTACCGAAAAATTGTGGAGAAGTTCTCAGTTTTGGCATCGCCATTGACAAAGCTCACTCGAAAGGGGACCAAGTTTGTATGGGATGACCGATGTGAGAAGGGATTCCTTGAACTAAAGAAGAGATTGACCGAAGCACCGGTACTTGCATTACCCCGACAGGGTATGGGGTACGATGTCTATAGTGACGCGAGCATCCAAGGGCTTGGATGTGTCTTAATGCAGGATGGGAGGGTGATTGCCTATGCTTCACGACAGTTGAAGAAGCATGAGGTAAATTATCCTACTCATGATTTAGAGTTGGGGGCAGTGGTATTTACGTTGAAGATTTGGAGACATTATCTCTACGGGGAAACATGTCATATATACACTGACCACAAAAGCCTGAAATACGTGTTTACTCAGAAAGAGTTAAACATGAGACAGAGGCGGTGGATGGAGTTGATAAAAGACTACCATCTAGTTATCGAGTACCACCCCGGTAAAGCCAACGTGGTAGCGGATGCCCTGAGCCGAAAGAATTCGTCTGGGGCATTGTTGACTAGTTTGAGGGCATTGAGAGCCCGATTGGAGGTATCTAGTGACGGTGCTTTGTTAGCTAGATTCGAGGTGAGACCTACATTACTTGATGAGATCAAGAAGGGTCAAGAAACTGATGAAGAGCTCATGAAGGTCCGGGAACGCATGCTTGCGGGACCGGTTGAGGATTTCAGGGAAAGAGACGATGGTCTCTTATTATTTCGTGACCGAGTGTGTGTGCCGTTGGATGATGGGCTTCGAAATTCCATCTTAGAGGAGGTCCATTCATCAGCATATGCCATGCATCCGGGAGGCACGAAAATGTACCGTGATTTGAAAGAAAGTTACTGGTGGTCGGGTATGGAGAGAGAAATAGCCGAGTACATCAGTAGGTGTCTTACTTGTCAGCAAGTTAAGGCAGAACATCAGCATCCAGCTGGGTTGTAACAGCCATTATCCATTCCTGAATGGAAATGGGAACACGTGACTATGGATTTCGTGGTAGGGCTGCCACGAACGATTAAGAACTATGACGTCGTATGGGTTGTGGTTGATAGGCTCACGAAGAGTGCACACTTTTTACCTATCAACACCACCTATGCACTGGAAAGGTTAGCCAAGTTGTATGTGGATGAGATCGTGAGGCAACATGGGGTTCCCATAACCATTGTATCTGATAGAGATCCGCGATTCACGTCACGATTTTGGCCAAAGTTCCAAGAATCTATGGGGACAAAGTTGAAATTCAGTACAGCTTTTCATCCACAAACGGATGGGCAATCGGAACGGGTTATACAGATATTAGAGGATATGCTGAGAGCCTGTGCATTGGAGTTCCAAGGGAGTTGGGACAACCATTTGTCACTTGTGGAGTTTGCCTATAACAACAGTTATCAGGCGAGTATAGGCATGCCTCCGTACGAGGCATTGTATGGGAGGAGGTGTCGTACGCCGTTGTGTTGGGATGAGGTTGGCATGGCCAAACTCGAGAGCACGGAATTGGTGGAGATCACCAAGTCTAAGGTGAAGATGATTTGTGAGAGACTTAAGGCGGCCCAGGATAGACAGAAAAGTTATGCTGATAAGCACCGAAGAGCCTTGGAGTTTAAGGTGGGAGATGAAGTATTTTTGAAGGTTTCACCTTGGAAAGGAATCATACGATTTCAGAGCCGAGGGAAACTTAACCCACGCTACATAGGGCCGTTTGTGATTCTTGAAAGAATTGGGCCCGTAGCATACCGGTTACAGTTGACTCCAGAATTGGAGAAGATACATAACGTATTCCACGTGTCCATGCTCAAAAAGTATATGCCGGATCCATCTCATGTATTAGAAAAACCACCCGTGGAAATACGGGAAGACTTGAATTATGCCGTGCAACCGGTAAAGATACTTGACAGGCAAGTCAAGAAATTGAGAAGCAAGAAAGTTCCAATGGTTAAAATCATTTGGAAAAGTGATCGAGTTGAGGAGGAAACTTGGGAAACGGAGGCTTAGATGAAGGAGCAATACGCGTTTCTGTTTGAATAATCGTTGTGAATTTCGGGGACGAAATTCCCGTTAAGGGGGGGTGAACTTGTAACACCGACCCCGGGCATATTTACTTTTAGTGAATTATGTGATAAACCTTGAAAGATGATTTATGAATTTGCGTAATTGTAAATTTTATTATTTCTTTTACGTGAATAAGTAAATTGCATGCGGGGCCCACAGTGGGAACGGGGACCGCCCGATAATTCCCGAACCACATATTATATTCATCTTGGTCTAGATGACATCTATATGGTGGTGGATATTTTATTTGGGCCATAAGAAAGGCATGGAGTTGACCGGTTGGTCAAACGGGGTCCAATTACCGGTATTGGCAATTTAACGGATAACAGCCCGAAATGAGTTTCGGAGACTCCTAAATTAATGTTGGGGAATGTACATCTATTCTAAAGGCCCATAATTATTGGGAACGCGTGATATATTTTATTTGGTCCGATAAAATAAAATATGATTAAAACGGGTCGAGAAATACAACTTTCGGGGCCGTTTGTACACACCGGGACTTAATGGGATGACCTCCCACATAAGTGGGGGCCACTCCACGTTTTTATGGGTGCTGATTGACCCAAATTAATGGGAAGGGGACATCCAAAGGTGGCATATCCGGACATGTGATTGAGGGGTGGGAGAAGGTTCTTGTACACATCCTAAAGGTCCTACACTCCCTATTATTGAGCTAGTTGTTGGGAAGATATTTCCTCCCTTTCATTTGCACCATACGAGCTGATTAGAGGGATAAGAGGGGGTTGGAAATAGCTCTCAAAAATCAGAAACTCTAGAGGAGGAAGGAGGAATAGCAAACCCAAGAAAAACTAGCAAGAAAGAAAGGTAATAGCTCCACAACTATTCTTCTTCGCTAGTTTTGTTGTATGATTTTTTTTAGCAATCCTATGGTGGATTAAATCATGAGTTCTACACGTTTAAAAGTGTAGAATATTGATGTATAGTAATGGTATTTAACTTAGAAGTGTTGGTGAATCGATAGGAGTCGAAATCGCCGGAAACCGCTAAGTATAGCAGGCTGCTCGAACCTGCAGCACACGAACGCCGGGCGACATTTGGCGAAAGCCGGGCGGCTTTCAGCTACTGCCCAGAATTCTTGTTTCAATCGGTCAAAAACGGGGATTTATCGAAGGGCTTCGTAAAGGCATCTAGTTTAGCACATCATAAGGTGATGATGGCTGACTATATTGCTTATAATTAGTGAGTTAATTTCATAAGATTGCCTAAAGTAATTAGATGGGATTTTCATGGAGTATTAATGATTAATAATGCCTAAATGAAAATGATATTGATATGAGTAAGTGAAGCATAATATACAAATTTAGAATAATTGTGTATGATTATGTGAAATAAATGGAACGGCATATTAATGGAATTTACTATGATGACATTGTGATAAAATATACTTTACGCCATGTATGAAATTCATGAACGGAGTAAAGTGATATTTTTGATATTGAGATCAAACTATACGTGTGTTGAGAAATCAATTGAAATGAAAAGTCAATTGGAAAATAGGAACTTGGCATGTTCTAAGATTATCCAATTAGTATCAAAATACTAGTCGGGGAATTAATATAAATAAATGATGAAACAAATCCTAAGAGGTAGGATTGTGAATAGATATGCCTTAAGTAGTCTCAAGAGATACTTTAAGGTTGAATTGTGTGAACACTAAGGTGTGATAGGGGTAGGCCTAAAATCTACCTACGGAAATTGATTCTAGACATAGGGTTTGCTTGAGAATTTGATTATGAAAATAATTAGAGTTGGACTCTAGGATGACATGGAAATGTAGTTGGGCCGAACCCATGCCATGTAATATGATTAGCATGGAAACGTAGTTGGGCCGAGCCCTTGCCATGTATATGTAATCTCCGTGGAAACGTAGTTGGGCCGAGCCCTTGCCACGAAGTTATGGTTGGTATGGAAACGTAGTTGGGCCGAGCCCTTGCCATACAAATTTTGATATGTTATATTGAGTTAGAGGATTGTATAGAAATGTAGTTGGGCCGAGCCCATGCTATACAATCGGGGCTCGATGGGACCCCACGGGGTTATCGTGACTTGCGGTCACGGGGGAATGGAAATGAGGAATTCTAAACGAATATGGGCCCACGGGCCGACTACTTGACTCTATATAAAGTAAGTACAGTTAAGAGAAAAAAAGGGGTAACCGAGGGTTATGACCTATAATATAATAGCACCCTAAGTTGAGGGTCTTAGAAATTAAAACATCAATTATACTTAGTATAGTTGCTATTGTACTTGTCAAATATTTCCAAGGACTGACGTCCCCTTCACGAGGGAGGCCACCTCACAGTTTCAGGTAGAACTTGAAGGTTGCTGCCACCGCCCGTTGCTTCGGGAAGATCCAAGGAAGAAGACGTGGTTCGTGCTTCTTCCGTTTCTGTTTCGAAAACAATTTAAATAATGCTCATGGATATTGTTTTTTTGAATAATTATTTGGGGGCTTGTACGCCCATGATTGCCAAGATGTGGCACAAACACTTACGTTAAATGTTTCCGCTGCTATAAATGTTTGTTTTACATTATGTTTGTTTATGGATGTACTATGTGTGAATGGTATTCGAGACGCCTTGTATAGTATGGATGAGTCGGACTGCGGTTGACTATTCGTACTGTACGGCGGGTTGTTGACGTGTCCGGGTAGGTCCGGGGCGTGACATTAGCGATATTCATATTTCGATTCATGTCATGTGATGTGACTAGTTGATACTGTTGGCCGTCACACGCCTACCACAGCACCCTTCTCCTTTATCCTGGCTTGGGACAGGCATGATACCAAAAAAATGATATCATGGCGGGGATGAAAATCATAGCTAGGGAAAAAATAGTACAACATTTAATCTTATATAGTATTATAATGTATTACGTGGTTAAATACTTTTCTGGATTAACTCATTCGTATAAAAACATGAACGAAGAAAAAAAAGTGCATTTCATATAATATTTCCCCTCAATTTAACACACTAGCGTGTGTACACGTGCACTACACAGTAGCATATGTGCTTAAAGTTTTTCTTAAAACTGTAGGACAGTGAATTCTCGTTAATCACAATTAAAAAGATAATTCAATTAGACTATGGATAAAATTGTCAAAATGGGTCAAAGTTCATATGTCTAGCCCAGTTCATCCCATTTCATAATGGGTTAGAGACTTAGAGATATCATTTTTTGTCCCGATGGACTCACCAGTTTCATTGGTCAATTTGCACAGGTAGCAGGATAAATGTGGTGGCACTTGCACTCTTGCAGGTTGCGAGTTGTGCAAGGTACAAATATCTTTTTTTATATTTTATTGTCTTCAATATTGATTATTTACTATCAAATTTATATTCAAATATACTTATTATTTTACAACCTTTGTTGAACTATTATTTCTATAATAATTATTCAAATAAGTTACACCATCATATTTTTTATCTTATAGTTGAAAATAATGTTTTATTAATTAATGATCATTGTTCACAAATATTGACTCAAAAGATCTCATTGTATCTTTGTTTTTTACAACGAATGCTTTTGTTAGATATCATTTAATAGCTATCAAATGTTAATATAGAAAAAGATTTAATAATATTTTTAATTAAACTTATTAAGCATTTTGAATTAAAACAACACATGACAATAGAGGGGGTTATATATATTATAATATAACATTTGAATACGTAAGAGTGAAGTTTTGGAAGTTGAATAGCTTTTCATTTATGGTGTTGCTACATGTCATTTTTTTCCTCAAAGATGTTGCCACGTGTAAATATTTCCTACAAAAATTTCTTCAAGTAGTTGTTTTATTATATTATATAGATATATAGATATAGATATAGATATAGATATAGATATAGATATAGATATAGATATAGATATAGATATAGATATAGATATAGATATAGATATAGATATAGATATAGATATAGATATGGATATAGATATAGATATAGATATAGATATAGATGTAGATATAGATATAGATATAGATGTAGATATAGATGTAGATATAGATGTAGATATAGATATAGATGTAGATATAGATATAGATGTAGATATAGATATAGATGTAGATATAGATATAGATGTAGATATAGATATAGATATAGATATAGATATAGATATAGATATAGATATAGATATAGATATAGATATAGATATAGATATAGATATAGATATAGATATAGATATAGATATAGATATAGATATAGATATAGATATAGATATAGATATAGATATATACAAGGTTGTTAAAATCTCAATTTAAATCGTAAAATCGTATGATTTTACGATTCTACATTAATAAATCGATTCAAATCGCAGGTAAAATCGCAAAATTATAAAATCGTACAAAATCATAAAAATCGTACAAAAAATCGTGTGGAATCGTTTAAAATTGTAGCAAAATCGCAATAATTTTTTTTAGTGAAAATGGTTCAAATTTATTAAAATTAACTACTACAAATTGATACATAATTACAATAATAATAATATCAATAGTATATATAAATATGTGATGTATTCCTTTGTTATTTAATTATTTTTATGTTTTACATATGTTTAATGTTATTATTCACTACATTTACGTTATTAAAATAGTTTATAGGTCTTGTTTTTGACCTTGTAGGTATAGTTTTATGTAATGAAATTATATAATACCATTAACTTGCAGCTTAATTTAAATATTTATTTTATAATTATTAGGATATGTATAATAAAATCTTACGATTTGCGATTCGATTTTACGATTCGATTTTCAAAAAAATATACTGATTCGATTCAAATATAAGATTTTAACAACCTTGGTGTTGGTCCCGGTTGTACTGGGTACAGTCTAGAGGGGGGGTGAATAGACTGTACTGATTTTTAACTTTTTCAAGCAAAGTACCAGATTTAACAGAATAGTCTGTTCTGTTGGTAGAACAGACTGGCAGCGGATGGTCTTCTGATAAGGGTTCTGTTCGGTTAGCCTCTAAGAGATGCAAAGGCAATAGGCCTTCTGTTAACTCACAGGAGGGGTTCTGCTGAACATAGAGACCCAATTTCTGAAGTTAATCAGTTAAGAGTAAGTGCAAGAAATAAATGCAGTAAGTAAATGACACCAGGGATTTTTATAGTGGTTCAAGGAACAACTCGTTCCTCTAATCCACTGTTCCACTAAGCTTGTAAAAAATCCAATTACACAGCCTTAGTCCTAGCACTTAAGAAGCTCTTCACGTCTTCTTCAAGCCTAGATGTCTCCGGGGATGCACTTCCTTGCTTCCTTTGAGACTGGTCCTTTCACTGAGTTTCCTTGAAGTATCACCACTTCACTACTTCAGTTACTTGGATGTCCTTCTCGTTGGAGAAGAGTTTTTGTGAGAACAGGGGTTTTCCAACTAGCTTCGCTATAATCTTTTTACGTTTGAATATGGAGGTTATAATCTTTTTACTTTGGAGAAGAGTTCTTGTGAGAACAGAGGTTTTCCAACTAGTAGTCTTTTTATGTATATCTGGAGTAGTCATCAACCATGACTAATGTGTATTTCTTTCCACCAACACTTGGGGTCTCAACTGGTCCAAATAAATCCATGTGGATGAGATTTAAAGGACTAGTGGAAAGATTTCCAGCAATGGGTTTGAAAGAGTTCTTCTGTTGTTTTCCCTTCTGGCATGCACTGCAGAGGGTCTCTTTCTTGTAGACTATGTCTGGCAGTCCATCTACAATGTGTTCTCTTGCCAATTTGTTGATTGTTTTGAAATTCAAATGACTAAGCTTCTTGTGCCAGTCCCAGTTTAGTTTTGAATCTCCCTTGGCTATCAGGCATACTCCATCTTTAGCAGTTTTCCAATCAACCACATAGATATTCTTCTTCCTTGTTGTTGTAAGAAACCACTTCCTTTGTTGTCTCATGCTTCACATAGCAGAAGTCCTTTGTGAATTCAACAGTGTAGCCTTTATCACAGAATTAGCTAGAACTTAGAAGGTTGAACTTCAGGCCTTTGACATAAGAGACATCATCAATGATTATCTGGTTCTTGATCAGCTTGCCTCTTCCTTTTGTTTGACCTTCTTTGTCATTACCTCCAAAGGTAACTCTAGGTCCTTTGCATTTATGGAACTCTGTTAGGCAACTTCTGTCACCTGTCATGTGCCTGGAGCAACCACTATCAATAAATCATTCTGGTTCAGAGATAGCTCGATCACAATGTTCCTACAGAATCAAAAGAAAGATTTAGGTACCCAAGCAATGTTGGGTCCTGGGGGGTCATGGAGTCTTGGTAGTTGGTACCACTGTGGTCTCATCAAGTGAAACCTTGGTGGGTGGTACCCATTGTCCACCAGGTAGTCGTAGTAAACAGAAGTGTGATTCACCTTGGGCAGATGCTTGTGAGGGTCATGCTTCTTGTTTACATATTTTTGCATAGCTTTCTTGGTAGGAAAGAAGTTTCATATACTATCATGAGCAGAGGGGCGGTTAGCTTTGGGCTTCTGAAGTTGTCCAGCCAACCTCTTCTGCCTAAAGTTAACTTTCTCTTGATACCTGCCTTTCTGGTGATCATTTCTAGCATGGTTATCATGAGGTTGTCTGTTGTGGGTTTGCCTTTGATTTTTCTGAAAACCCTTTCTGTTGTTAGGTTCTCTGTCAGGTTCATTGATTTTCAAAATGGGTTTCTGTTGAACCTTTATCTTTCCTTTTTCTGGCTTGACTTCCTCATGAATAACCTTGGTGCCAGATACACCAGCATGACAAATGGGCTAGAGATCAGTGGCACTATGACCTTATATGCCTTAGCAACTCTGGTGCTAGGCATTACAGAAGGCTCACCTGATTCTGTTGAGCCATATCCAAGACCAAAACCAACGCCAATCTGTTGGTCAAGTAGTAACCTTTCCATTGAAGACTGGGCCTTCTGGTAGGTATTGTACTTGATCTTAACTGACTTCATTTCTCTTACTTTCTTTAGAAGAGAAACATTTTCAGCTTCCAGCTGATCTCTTTCTTTAATGAGAAGATTGATTTCGATCTCAATCTCCTTTCTTAAATCAAGTGATAGAGTATATCTAGAGAGAAGTGAGAGCTAGAGAGAGAAGTGCAATAATATGCTTCAATAGAATGATTTTGTAACCCCTATAACTACTCCCAAGGGAAGTATTTATAGAGAAAATTAGGGTTGGGCTCCCAAGTCTTGGGCTTGGGAGGCCCATTTACAACTGGACCGCTACTGGGCCGAATACAAAGCCACTAATGGGCTGTATAAATGAATAAGTATAAAATCCGATTCTGTGAGGTCTTTGTGGCCGACGAGGGCGTGGCCGATGAGGGCACGGCCGACGAGGGCACCCGGGTTCCTTGGACTCAGGAGCATAATCCGAGTTGGCCCCTTTTCGGCTGACGGGGGCGTCTTGGCCGACGAGGGCGCCACTCTGTTGTCTTTTGCTTTCTGTTCTTCCGAGTATGTGGGTCCGGGGGCTCAGACCCATATACTCCATCAGGAGTCCCCCACTCTCTAAGCTGAGACGTAGACGAAGTGAAGGAGAGTAGA